GTTTTAAGCGAGAAGCTTCTTTTGATGCTCAGTGTAGACTTGCGCTTTAATCAGCAACCGCCGAAGAGTGCAGCTGTGGAAATAACTAGGTTGGAGAGCTCTGAGATGCCTGAGGTCATTCCAGGCAGAGTTAGTTAGCTTGGGCCAGTTCACTATGCTGACAGAGTGGATCTAGGTTAATCTAAAGCAGTACAACGAGTGATAAATAACCAGTCATTAGAATATTTTAAAACATCTAGCTCCCTAATCACAAATTTTCACTGTGTGATATGCCACAGAGCAAATTAGGCCAAAAATGTCCAAAGACCTTATCACACAGTGAGACACACCCCCAGTAGTAAGCATTTCTTCCTGCAGTAAGCATTAAGGATGCGTTTGCAGACGTGACCTTAAAATTGTTGTTTCACTGCCACCTAATAAACATTCCTGGGTTTTCCTACTCTCTAACAAAGAGAGCCACCTGTTAAAAAGAGCAAGGGACTCAAACCAGCCACCAGAGGTATTTATCTCAGTACAATTTCAAATGTACTCCCAAATTACATGTCATGATGGAACATGCGTCAATGAGAGAAACACATTCCACACTCCAAAGGCTTAGTCAAGCTCATGACAAAGACAGCTATCCCACCTTGCTCCTTGGTTTCTGCCTGCTAGTTGTAGTGAGGAGGGTAGCTTTTTAAACCATTTAAAACAGGGGTGCAGGATTTAGACAGGTAATTTTCCAAATCAGGCACTTTCTGGTATAAAAACATCACAGAAGAGAAGCTATGCAACAGAAAATGTGATCCTGAGGAGTGTCTGAGAGGAGTTCATCGACAGGGAAAGCTTGAGTAAGTTCAATAAGTAAACATTTTTGGATGATTCGGACCCCCTCATTATAAACTGCATTATGTACAGTATTAACCAAATCACTGCAAAACCAGCAAATGTGCATACACTTGTATGACAAAAACAGTGTGCAATCCTCCTTTGTCCAAGCCAAAGCAGGATTAATTTCATTCAGGAAGATCATCAGAGTCTGGTTGACTTCTTGACATTTTTTTTTTCATTGATTTTCTTCTCTCTCACATCTTACCCTGAAATCCAAGACCATGCAACAATGGGATCGCTCTCCTTTACACTGGGGCTCATTTCATAAATCATGGCTATGGAATGAAATGAGAAGATCGAGGGGCCAAGAATACATGGAACAGGAGAAGCAGGAGGCAGAGATGACAGTGACACTCACAAACGCAGGTAACAATGGAGAAAAAAAAATAATGTGCTTTGGGATACAGGGAAGGAGCAGACACCAATAAGAAAAAAAAGACTCAACAGGAATTACGAACTTTCTTTATGGCAGCAGTTATTACTTGTTTGCCAGCCTAGCTGTTAAAGAGTTAAACATCCCTTGACAAATCAGCCGACACTTGAGAAGCATAGTTCACGCAATGCACTTATCTGTTGACTTGTTGTTATTAGAAACAGCTGTCAGAGTTCCAGTAACTTGGAGTGCTACTTGTACTGAATGAAAACAGCCCACATTCAGTGCACATGCAAGCCTATTCATTTGCTTCACCTGTCCTCCGAAATCCTAAAGCCTCAGAACACATGTGCAAGATAAAATGCAAAACAAAATGTGAGATGCATTTCAACTTGATTTAGTCAGAGTGCCATAAAGGCAACAATGAGCAATCATTTTAGCTTGTATAATGGTGATTTTTATCAGTACGTCTGAGAAAACATCATCTTTGCAAGATTTAAGAGATGATTGCTCCTGTTGAATCTACCACAATTAATGAAATAAAAGAATATATGTACACGACTCTAGAGAGAGTTATACTGTATATTATGAATAGGATGAAAATGTTTGAATTTAATTATTTTCCTGTATTTTATGATGTTTCTTCCCCAGGAAAATATTCATGATTGGCACAGAACCAGCACTTACTTTCATTCATAGCTGACAATTTGTCCACTTGTCCTTAAACCTACTTATGAGCTCACCATGCAGCAGATCTTTGAGCTCGCTCCTGATCCTGATCCATTAGGGATTAGTCCGCAGTTTTGCTCAGTCACATCCGGGTCCATCCTTGGTGCTTGAACAGCAAGTTCTGTGTCTTTACCTTAATGTTCCACAAGTTTATGTTTCCACCATCACTGGGGCTGCTTCACTGACTTCACTGTGATGCTGATGACATTACTGAGGCTGCTGCTGATCCATGAACACAAACATGAAGGTGGATAGCCTGAACCATGAGCTCAAGTCAAACAACTGCTCAAAGAGCTGCTTTTGTTACTTATGTGCTTCTTAAGAGCATTTTAAAAAGTATGGTTAGCCATATGGCTCTATGATACCTTTCTATTCAGCAACCTGTATCCTCTGGAGGCCACAAGTGCATTAAAAGCACATTTTAAAATATTTTTATAGAAAAGGTGATGGATATACAACTCAACTAAAACAGTAAAACAGCGCTCATATTCTGCACTTGTACACCTGTGCTCATGTTTACCTCTAATGCTTGTATCCAACACAGTTAACTACTGAAACAGGTGTTAAGGGAGACATTTCAGTATTTCCCAGGAGGCTTAGAATGTTTTTCCTCTTTTTCCCTGCTTGGTTCTGGTTTTCCTTTAATGTTCCCCCTTATGAACATACAGATTATGAAGAAGAGGATATCATTTGACCCATCTTGCTTATCTGCCATCTAGTGATTTGATTACTAAAGAAGTTTATCAATCCATTTCTTGTTCTTCAAAGATCCCACAGAATCTGCTTCAGCAATATGGCTAGGGAGGTCATTTCCATATGTTCTGTTGTGAATGATCCTCAATTTAATCCTCTCTTTACTCCTAGAGTCCATGTATTGTTTTGGGCCTTTGAGTAGGTCCCCTGTACTGACAGGGTCACTGCTTTTTAGAATTTCAAACACCTGAATCAAGTCCTCACATAATCTTCCCTGTTCTAAGCCAAACTGACTTGATTAAATTTAATTCTTTAAAGACCAGGAATTAGTTTGATTGCACTGCATTCTACTGCCAAATACAGAAACAATCTTTTCCTTGAAACACTGTGGCCAAAACTAAACACCATATTGCAGATGGAGCCTATGTAGTATATCGTATTAATTTTACTTGACATCCCTTGATTTGAAGTCTATGCTATTATATTCTTTGCTGACACCACTTAGTTGAAGAATGCAACAAGTCAACAAACTGAGAACTTATACATTGCTTACATACATTTCTAACTTCATTCCACCTTATTCTTACTGTGCGAGGCACATTCATGCTGCTAGGATGGGATGCCTATTCATACCAAATTCCATTGTTCAGGGATGTGCTCAGATTTGAATGGTTTGTAAATTATCATTCTAACACTAGCTTCTACTGTTGAAATATTTGCAACTCAAATGAATTCTGCAACAGCTCCAAATTTGGCAGGGTTAGTAGCAGAACGTGGAGGTCAACCTATAAATTGGGGAGGGTCACTACTGTGGCCAATCAAAGTCTACAGCATGGCCCCACATAAAGCCCTTGGGCTGCAAGCTGTCCACCCCTAGCCTAGAACACCGACAGAAATGGGGGGAAAAAAGTATAGGTAACGCTGTTCTGACAAAAAACGTCTGCAAGGTTATTAAAGAGAAACACTTGACTTAGATTGAATTTGCTATCTGGAAATCATTTTTTTGCCGTCATTATAAACACTTTCCAGTCTGCCATTATGAACTTTTAGATAAAAGTTTTCTTCAATAACAAAAGTCTTCAGGGTGGTATCAGAAATGCAATCTTCAAATAACAAAACTAGTGTGCCACAATTCCCTAGATCGCTTTTTTCTACACACAACTTATAGTTTAGAAAACACAGTCTGAATTTTGGTCAAAGAAATTCTTCCAGGTGAAGATAGAGAAGCTTAAACCCTTTGGAGTACATTTTTTGCTGCATTACTGAAAGAATGCTATTTATTAAATCTAAACCTTTACAGCAGAGCTTGATTGGATCAGGTCATTTCATACAAAGCGTGGCCTGACCAAAACATATTTGAATTTTCCTTGCTCCTAATCATTAACAGTAGCAGAGCAACGTGTAGAACAAACAAGGAATAGCTGCAACAGTGATGAGTGTCACGGAATAGGATGTGTTAAATGCTGGGCTATTAGGTGTGCTCCAGACAGTGGTATTAATGAGACAGATGGAGGGGGAGAATAAAAGACTATTTGTAGCATTGGTGCTGATGAATGAAAGCATGCTGTGCTCTGGGCTGAAATCCGCGCTGGAACCTTTGAGAGACAGCCAGCCGCGTAACGAGAGAAACCACAGCCTAGATTTAATCTCAAAGATCTTACAGGTAGGCCTCCTTGTAAACAAGAATGCAGATGTCCCATTGTAAAAACGAGCCGACAATACATTCGCTTTGATCAGCATCCTGCGGAAAGTTACCTGCTATTACGCCCGAATCCATGGTTACCGCTTGTTTTCCTTCAGCTGACAAGTGTTGCTTCTTACTGTTGTTGTTGTGGTAGTTCAACACCATTTGCTACCACAGAAGTTTTTTTTTGCCAGATATGAATGTGGTTTGTCCCGATTAACTGCATTTTTCTCTTATAATCTTATACTTTAATTGGAAACTGGGACTAGACGGTCTCACTGTCTCATTCAAATGTTTTTCAGTTTTCTTCCGTTTGTGGGCTTTCACAATCTGTCATACTTTACATTTAGAATCCAGCACTGTTTAAAAACTCATTTCTGATTTTTTGGCTGCAGTGTAATGTGCATCTGACAGATGCTAAGGTCTGAATCTTAGCTTTTATCTGATTGCACACTGTGTTCACAGGATCCTGGGCAAGCAGGAGGAGTCCATCCACTAGTTTTCAAATTGCAACTTTTGTCCTGAGTGTGGATGTACAAAGAAACATCAAAGCAATTCCTGAAGACTTGAATGTGGCAGAGTGCTTTCAATACAGCAAAAACTAAATTTTGCTACAAAGAAAAATAAGTAAAGAAAACAGGAAGGTCAAAGTTGTTGTCAGGTCACTTTATTGTCTTTGAGGTTCCATGATAAACTGTCTGAAGATAAAAACCATTTAATTGCATTCCTTGGCTGAATTCAACTCTGAATTGTCATCACGAACCTGGTATTAACCATAACAGTCTTAATGAACAGGAACAAGATGTGTATAAAAAGTACTAGAAAACAGTTTGCAGTTAAGCCTACTGGACCAAGAAAGTAAAACCTCCCTTAGCTTACTGGACCCTTCTATTTTCATAGACACAGGATTTGCAACTTAAGCCTTGAAGTAAAATGTTCCCAGTCTTTTTGATTTAACAAGAGTGCACTGAACAATATCTAGGTGTAAAAACATACAGCTGGGCTGCTTCAGCAAGCAAAAACTCAAGTCTACCAAATACAGGGGATGCTGAGAAACCATGCCTATGTTTGATGCAGCTATCAAAAAAGTATTGCGGGTGAAACAAGTCTCTTCTAAAGAAACTGCAAGAACTGGTCAGGTTATCAAGCTTACAGAGGTAGGGATGTTGTGATGGTCATGCATGTTAACTTATCTATCTATTTTTATGCAACATGTAAGTTCCTAGTATACATATTCAGATAAGGTTTGTTTAAAAACAATAAAGATGATTTGCTTTTAAACCCACCTTAAGTTTAACGCCTTCCACTGAGGAGCAAATGGAATGGATCGCAAGACTTTTAGAGACTGTCAGCATTTCATTACTTTGGCAATACCTCGAAGAGTTCTGTGCAGCCAATTTTAAATAATAAAAATCATGTTGGCGCATACAAAAAATTAATGCTGCCTCTCCCCCACCAAACACAATGTTTACTGCCTGAACATTATATCTAATGCTTTGAAATTGGTAGTTCTACAGATGGTAATAACTGATTTTTAATGCCCGATTGGGAAACCCATTAGTGGAGTATGGGCTGTTCATCATTTAACATTTTTAGAATTTAACATTAACAAGAAAAGTCACAACCACCAGTCTATTGGTAGTTTTGCTTCTGTGTACTTGTCTCTACACAAGCATACATTATAAAGAGCTGCAATTTGCAAATATTCCCTCATTATATGAATATTAGCCCTTGAGTTGTCTAAGCTTTAATGCGAAATGAAGTATTGCTGTCTTCTTCAGGTGTACGTGATGTCGTTTTGAGAAAATATTACTCTTCGTGTGGCATCAATGAAGGTTTTTGTCAACTCTCCCGCTTTACCTTTGAATTTGTTTAATACTGAAAGCATTTCTCTTGACTCTTTCAGATGACGCTGAATATCACTCCTTGACAGCTACAGACCACTTCCTTCACTGCGTTGACTACATGAAGTCCCAAACGGCATGTAGAACTCACAACAAGAACACAATTCTAACTCACAACACATTCTAAACTGACGAAAAAATAGTTCCATGAATTTTGATTCATAAATTTTTAGTTCAGTCTTCAACTTCAAGGTGAACTTAAATAATTAGCTACCCATCCGGGTATTAGTAATAAAATGTTCAAACTGGACGACTTACAACTTCTGTTTGATCCTTCCTCGAAAAACCTTATGCTACAGTAAGATTTCTCCAGTACAGCGATTCGACAGGGAGAAAAGGCGAGGAAGGTTGAGTTAACACTGGATTCAATGAAATGTGGCACTACCTTTTGAAGATTTCGCTTGCTGTTAAAAATATCAATTGAAAAATTTTAGCAAATGTAATGCTTTTAAAAAAACATTGGGCTAACCTCTAATTCACATGGTCTCCTAAACTAATAGGGAAGAGAGTATAACCATGTATTTTTTTCTGCTTGTGTCTACTGTATGCCCTTTCTGGGTTATTATATGTGGGATCTGTGCACACTGCATCCCTTTTCCAAGCCTGGACTGATTACTGGAAGGCCTCTCGGACCTTGGATTGCAGGGCGTCACATGTTTTCTTGGCGTCTCCCAGCAGCATGCCTGTGTTGGGCTTGTAGAAGATTGGGTTGTCCACAGCAGCGTAGCCCACACCCAGGGACCTCTTCATCACAATGATCTGGAAAGGTTAGAGCAATTAAAAAACTTGCTTCGGCTGCAAGGCTAAATCCACATATTCCTGACTCATGCATCTTCTGACTAACTGCTGTGCTGTATGATTACCGTTTGTCTGTACTTTTCTGCTACTGACCCTTTGAGCGTTCCCAAAGTTAATGTACAACTGCCTTAGCTGAAAGCTGGGCATAATAGAAGTGCATTCGTTTCTATCTAAACTCATCCAGTGTTTCAGATCTCCCAAACGGTGTCAAGCATTCCACCACACCACTGCTACTGTAAACTTGTATGATAAGACTTTTAAATTAAGAGCATCAGAATTGTTAGAATAAGTGCTTTGTTTAGCCCAAAGCAGTGGTGTGTCTTGACAGTTGATGATGGACATCCTTTGTTTATGCAAAATTAGACAGCAATTACTGTGCTTGCATAAAACAGCCAAACAGAAGAATTCTTAAAATATAAGCTTTAGGCAAAGTTTGCAAAAAATGGAATACCATAACGCTGAAAACAACAGACTTGTTTTAAAAGCGCTCAAAGATTATTGTGATTGGAGAAGTTGTTAATTCAGCACCCTGAAGAGCTCAATCACAAGTGTAAATGCGCACAAAGCAGGACTGCAGACACCTCGATTAATACTGAAAAGATTCAAATTGTCTTCTTCAGCGGCTTATTGTCTCTTGTTTCAATCTGACCTCATGGGGCCTGCTGGCAAGTCAAGGGAATGTGAGAGAAAAATCACTTTGCTTTTATTGAGAAAGTGAGCCAAGCTCCTGACATGCCTTATATCTCAATAAATAGTCCCTCTGCGGCAGTTTGCCCCCCAACACACACATAGCCTGAAAGAGTACTCCAGTGTCAGACAGGGCTCTGTGCATTTCTTTTTGAAAATGTCATTGTTTTCTTTACAAAATAACATGAACAAAATCATTTTAAAGGGATCACAGATGTGACCATACAAAAAATTATTCTAGAAACCAGCTTTCTGCTTTCAAATGACCTCTCCTTCATTGCAAGGACACAGTGGTCTGCCTGCAGTATAGTGCTCAGCATTTTTAACTCTCTTTCAGTAATTCAGAAGGCTTTCACTTACTTTGTAAAAGGTGTTTTAGTCAATTTACACCACTTCTTAATTCTTTAATTGGCTAATTATTTGTATCTGCTAAGTATTTTGATTACTTGTTTATAATTAAAGAGAAAATACTTTCCCTATACTTGGTAAGCTATGTTGTAAACTGTAGTCTTGAAAATAAAGATTGTCGTGGTACAATATTTGGAGCAAGAAGCTCAAGTCAATGTTCAACCACAATTTCACAACCAATTCAAGGGCTCATATAGACCAAGCAGAGTCACAGTGTTGAGCAATTCTAATATACTGGATGCTAAATGAGTTGCTGTTTTTGAACAGTTGTCACTGGGCAATATAGACTACTGCACAGGTTGTAAACTCACATTAAGCTGTTGGCTAGTATAATGGCCAACATGTGCATGCTTTGCCTTTGTCAACAACACATGCATTTAGTCATGTGCTGACTGTGCTTCAGTCATTACCTGGGAAAAAAGGTAATGGAAACCCAGGACATTACTTTGAACAGAGGCAATCAAAACAGACTTTTTCGTTTTGTTTAGGCAGGTTTCCTACTTCATGGTTGGTGGGTCATGGTTATCCTGGCACATATAACATTATTTTGCATAATCAGTGAATCTAAGTTTAAACTCTTCGATAGAAACTGGTTCCAAGACTGGGCTTCAGTGTGGATCTGGCCAGGCTATCGACCAACGACTAATGACTAATGACTGCCTAAGCAAAAACAGATAAAACTGAGTTTTTCTCAGCAGTTGCTGATATGTTGAAAAATTAAACTCCAATCAACACAGATTTTAAACTCTCTTACAAATCCTCCCCACATACTGTCAGCACTTGAGTGTATGTTTTCCTTGACTTCAGAGGAACAGACCAAGCAGAGGGAATCCATTTTTCAGAGTTTCAGAGTACAAGGCTGCTGTACAAAACAAATGTGTGTTCCCTGGTTTTTTAAGACAACCTTACTTGAATATTATCTATGATCCAAAGAAATAGACAAGCACACAGGTATTGTGCTATACACTATCAATTTTGATTAAGAAGAAATGGTAAAACTGTGTGTGGGGGGTGGTTTAAGGATAGCTGTGATTAATCAGCTGAAGCAATTTTTTAAAATTGTCCCTATGTGTATGAAACAAGCATATGGGTATCAAGCAAGACGAAGAGTGGTTAAAACAGATGAGTTCTGTTTCTGTTAATTTGCACTTGCTCGTCCCAAATAGACCCCCACTGAAAGAGATTCGTCATTATTAATTGGAACGGTGTGAATTCTTTGTGTGTATCACGCACCTGGTGACAAGTGATTGCAAAACACAGAGTGCAACACTACTCATGGTTTTATTTGTGTGTGTGAAAAGGTTTGCACTCCGCACTAAGAAAGGTAATTACTGCTTTAATTGTTCACATATATGCCAGAATTTTCACAGCTATCTGCTCCATAGTAGAATTTGGAAACATTAAAATCCAGGAAAGGGCAGTCCATAGCCAAAGGAGCTATGGAAAGAAGAAAAGGTATTCACCAGAGTACATTAATTGCATTTCAAATTCAAGATACAGCCAAACCAATTTTTGAACTACAGCAAAATGTTTTATATAGATGTTATATGACTAAGTGCAGGACCACCCAAAAAAAAAAAGAATTTTTTTTTTTTATAATGGTTTGAACGAATCATCAGACACCAGCAGTTTAAAGAGTGAGTTTCCACTGAAAACCTCTCTGGCTGCTTTTCCGGTGACCCTCACCTGCTTCGACTTCCACACCTCCAGGACGGGCATGCCTGCGATGATGGAGTTGGGGTCTTCCTGAGCTGCCGAGTTCACAGTATCGTTCGCACCGATGACGAGGACCAGGTCCGTTTCTAAGAAACCAAAGAAACAGAAAAATAATTCTGCCATCCTCAATAACAATACTTCAATTACAACCTCTGCTGCCAAACAACCCAGATGGCAGGAATACAGATTTGTCATACATTAAAGTTTCAATAAGACTGAAAATGAACACTATAGAAACAGTGGGCCATGACTATATTACAATATCTATGCATTCTTCCCAGTGCGAATGCGTGTTTGGGGGGGGGGGGGTAGTTTAATCAGCAGTAAAAAGTAAGTATTTATTAAGCAATTCATCACATGTATGTCAACTAGAGTTTTTAAGCAAGATTTGGAGAGGTGTGACCAAGTTAGCACTCCTACCTGGGAAGTCCTCGTTGATTTCATCCATCTCCAGGACCATGTCATAGGGCACTCCAGCCTCTGCCAGCAGCACATTCAGCTGGCCTGGCATGCGGCCAGCCACTGGGTGGATACCAAACCTAGCAAGAGAAAAGGACAAAGACACAGAGTAAATTAATTGCATTATCCATGAGACAGGATAAATTCAAACAAGCTTCTGTGGCAATGGCCGACCAATTCAACATTGCATAAAATACAACCAAATAAATATCATTTTTGGGTTGATTATGGGTGGAGTGTTACAGATTTCATAACTAAGCTCTGGTAAGTCATAGTAAGCAATGCAGAAAAACCTGATTCATAAGTTGATAATCCTCTGCTATTATGGAACCAAGAATGATTTAATGCCATCCTAAAATATACTCCTTGTTGTCGGTAACAAGCCCATGCAGGATTCCACCAAAACAGTCTGAGCAACTGCATCCCCTTAGCTTTGAGCTGGAAGTCAAATATTATCCATCGGTCTCATATCCCACATAATAAGCAGAATAATTCCTGAGGAGAATTACTGTGGCACATGTGGCTATGCATAAATACTTTTCTTTGTATCAAATGACAAGAAGATCCCTGTTCACCACGTACAACATATGGACTAATACGTAGTGGTGTTCTGTGCAGATACAGTATGTCTTTATGCCAAGACACGCAGTTCTAAACTAAGCATTTGACACATCAAAAGATGCGGTAAAAGGACTACTTGACTTGTAACAATGTTCTGTTCCAACCTTAAATTTTATGTGTACAATTAGCTGTAAATGTAATCCATCTACCTACTGTTGATGACATCACAATGTATAATGCTGCCATCATGTAAATACGAACTATTTTCCAATTATTAGACATTTTGCAGGCAGATGATCTAGCTAGATATAGGCACTGAAAAATATGCTGATCTGGAGCAGTCTGAAACATAAATTAGTAACTAATTAGAAATTTTGTGAGAATTAAAATTCCTTCACACTGGTAGGGTGAAGCTAGTGGTTCTCAGCTCCAGTCCTGAGATAACACTGTGTCTGCTGGTTTTCATTACAACTGGACCCTGATTCACTGGTGCTAACTGATTAAATCGATCAGCTTGCTTATTGTTTTCTGCACTCAGTCCTTACTTCCAGTAATATCAGCACACAGAATGTTATTTATTCTCTACTCAACTTACTAATTAATTCACCTCCACAGTTTAGACTAAAACAGATCTTTAACACGTAATCTATCAGACAACTCCAACAGTATGTCAGTTTCCTCTAAGTCCAAATAGTTAAGATTTCAACTAACACACCTGAATGATGACAAATACACACCTCAATAAACAACCCCAACAATGAAAGTCAAAACACCCAGGTCTTCTGTTTTTATCTGTTCATGTTGCACTATATGATGTTAAATTCCATCCAGCTGGTTCTGCTTTGTTAACCCTAAGAAAATGCAAACTGAACTCTGACAGGCTTCCTTTAAGATTAGGTCAGGACCTCAATGAAAGAAGGTCCATGATCCCAATACTCTTATGCTGATCCACTTATACGTCAATATGAGGTTGTGAGACTGGTATTTATCTAATTTAATGAGAACCAAAGCAACTATTTTTCTGTGTGCATGTCATTCCTTTGATCTATTTTATAACTGCAACCGTATTTAGATTCTTCATCTGAGCTAAAACATTAGTTTTATCTTACGATACAGTGAATATGGGTCCATGGATTTTTTATGATGGATATTACCTTATCTTAAAACTGTGAAAAATAAAGCTTTCAAAGTGTAGGCACAGAATGGTGTTTTTAAAGCCTGATTCAAGCCCTGCTTAATCCAACTAAGAACAGAAGATCTGAATCTATTTCACCTTTCACCCCTGCAAGGAACTTCAGTTTATAGCTGAGGCTTTTTTCTTTTATTTTTCCACAGTTGCATCCATCTTTCCCTATTAGGCCTTGTTAATTCTCTCTCTCTTTATTATCCTAATATGATTAGGAACTGTGCTGCTCTACCTCTGTTCAAAAAGCTGACTTCTGACAGAAAAGGAAAAGACAGAACCTAATTTCAATCCAAAGATGCAGTGAAATGGCTGGAACAGATACACCACCAGACACCCAGCATGTCTGTGTAGTGAAGATGCCAATAACATTTCCTGATGCAAGCCATGGCAAGCGAGCTGAATGTACAGCCGAGCTGAATCTTCTCACATTAATATCGGGTCTTCATGCCATACTGGGAAACTACTCCTGTGGTATGTTTGCGGCAGGAAGGGAAATGAACCCAACAAACCTCCAGTACTGGAGAAAAATTCAACAAGGCAAATTGAGGCCATTTTTAAGGAATTATTTTCCCAGTGTACTCTCTTTACTTCTCCTTGTGAATACTTTTGGTTTGGTGGAAGTACAAGCTGCTTGTGGTTCTGGTATTCCATCATTCCTTTCCCATTTCTCCTGCGCATTAAACTGCAGCAAGCTGGAATTTGGCTGCGAGGGAAGACGGGACTGTCACTGAAACCATCCGCACATAGAACCGTGCTTTCATTTTTAACCCCTTTAGTGCTATGTTGGCACTGTGTGCCATCAACTGCGCCACCTGCAGTGTACCAAATCAACAGGATGTGTCAGTCCTGATCGCTCATCTGACTGATCAACTGACTGATACGGCTTCTGTGGTCGGGGAGGTCAGGCAATACAGTTATTGAAAATAGCAGTGAGCAACTTTAACAATGAAATAATACTAAAAATCCCATGATGCACTTCTTTTTCAATGTCGATACCTGCAATCAGGTTAGAAAAGGCTCCATTCTCAATTTACAGAAAAACTGGGAATAAGATAAAGCAGGTTTTACTGTTACCTTAAGATTGCGTGGCCATCACTATTTTGTACTCATTCACAGAAAAAGGATTGTCAGAATCTGTTTTATTTTGTTTTAAGGAAAGTAGCAGTCCAAGGTAGAGGACAATGTTGCAGGACAGCTGCTCTAAGACACACTGAAGGAGTTTTCAGTCTAGTCTCTACGCACATATATGCACATCTCATCTGTCCTTTCATTTGACTTTTCATGGGCTCTTTACATGTATTATTATTTTCCATGTATAATACACAATGTATATTTTATGTATTAAGTCTGTCTAACTGCACAAATGCTAACAGGCCACGCATGACTTGTGATTCCAATGACTCGCCTGTCTCCTCTTTCTTCCCGGGTCAGAAGAAGCAACTGATCCATCAGAGAGACCACATACCAAAAAAGAGAAATCCAGCCAATAGTTTGGACAAATGAATCTACATATTGGAGGTATTTCACTCCACAATAAGTCTCAATCAAATGGTATCTGGAAAAAAGCATTTTCATTCCAGATTGGTATTTAAGACCCCATCCAACACACACTCACTTGAAGATAAACTATCATGAGAAACACTTAAGAGAGAAAGTTATTAAACCAAATATAATTCAGAAATAATAATGAACACTGAAACTCATATACAGACTATATACAATATACAGGGTTGTTCTAAAGTCTTGAAATGTCTTCCAAGAAGAATATACCTATAACCATGCACCCATTTTAGTTGAAAACTGCTGGGCATACATACAGGATCATGGGAAACTACAGATCTATAGGCAATAGAAAAAAAAATCACCACCAGGTGGCTCTGAATTACCCTAAGTGTTCAATAGACACCCCATTTGGACCAAACAATGACCATGCTACATGGAAAAGTGCTACCACAATTCTTGAAAATGGCATCTATGCCATGCAAATACAAATCTGAAATGTAGTGATTCTAAAACTGTACACTATAGACTACTATTCGTCTGTTCTCCTTCCAAAACTGCTAAACTCTTTAAGATGTTTTACTTAGGAAGAAGGGGACTTCATGGAGCTTGGAGTAATTTCAGTGCACTATTAATACTACAGCCTTGCCAAAGCAAACCTTGATTTATGCAACAGAGCAACAGGCAGTTGCAGGAAGTGACCTCTCCTAAGAAAGACAAGGCAATATATACAGTATAAAATACTGACAGGTCATATTGAAACTTCTGAATGCTGTCTGTGCAGAACAGCATAGAGACTCCAATTACTGTGATTTTACTGGCAATAGACTTGCTGTAACCAATTTGTGAAACCAGGAAAAAACTGACTTAGGCAAAACCCCCTAAACAATGAAAGAGAAGCTGAAAGAGATAGAAGAGAAGCTCAAAGAGAAGTGCTGCTAGCTGAGCTTTGAATTTGGCATTAAGGACAAGAGTTAGGACACTACCAAATACAGACACTACATACAGACACTACCAAACAGTTGTATGTATTAAAGTGAATTAATTAAGAAGTAGTGCACGGCAGTGGTAATGATCCTACATAAAGTCCACAAATGAGAGAAGGTCGTTCAGCTTCTCATCCATCTCCTTCACATGCTACACAGTCACTACTAGGAACAAACTCATTTCTACCCTATGCAAGGGACAAGATTAACAAATCAAATCTAACCTGTGTTTGTTGAAATCAGAGCACCTGGTGAACACCCACATGAGCATGGGGGGAACCCAGGATCCTAGATAGGGGAGGCAGTAGTGCTCACCACCACAGACCACGGCACTGTGCTGTCCACAAACACAGGATTACAAACCTAAAGAAAGTCACTGGAAAGTAGTGGAACTGCAGAAACCTTTCCAAATGAGACTTACAATGGCAACCACACAATGCACCATGCTGCTTTTAGCTAAATCCATCCATCCATCCATCCATCCATCCACCTTCTATCCTGTTTATCCAGGACAAGGTCATGGCGGGAACCGGGCTTAACCAGGAAAGCAGTGGGCTCAAGCCAGGATTCACGCTGGTTGGGCAGACACAAATATGCACACCTTCACACCAGGGCAGTTTTTCCCAGAAGCCAATTAACCTTCCAGTATGTCTTTGAACTATGGAAGGAAATTGAAGCACCCAGAGGAAACTGGAAGAATTTATAAACTTCGCACAGATATCATCCCAGGTTTGAAATTGTCCCAGGCCCCCAGCCCTACAAGGCAACAATGATAACCACTATGTCACTATGTCTCCCTAAACCCACCCACCCACTCAAAAAATCCCTATGGCCCATTTCATTTTTC